CTACCAATGTGGTCTTTAAAGCCTTGATATGCATGTTTCCTATTTTTATATTTGCTTTTAGTGAAGACTTCAAAACCAAAGTGCTCGGTCCTCTCGAGTTTCTTAAACTGAAAGCAATAAAAATAATAAGTTGTAACCTTGATCTCACTGTATTCTAACCATGTATAATTATTATACAATGATTTACTAAATGCTCTTTTAATACTTCCAAATGGAGTACGAGAAAAGCTTAACATATCTGGTTGCATTGGGCCCTTCAATATATATGCCCTCCTCACTTGGTCTTGAATATCCGGAACATACTTATTAATTTGTTTCCTACGACATGGATCACGCACAATCTCATTTGGGTTAAACTATTTAACCACATTAGGTGGTGTTTTTGGTTTTGATTATGATTTAATCAAAAATCTCCTCATCTCTAAAAAAAAGCTCTGTCAAATTGGTTTCAAAATTTTCAACTTTCCATAAACATTGATCATTAACATAAACATTAAGCATTCCAAATCCAATTCAAGTTTCCAATTCATTAACATAAAAATTTTCTATAAGATTCGTTTGACTTGTTATGTAGATTGTTCAAGATATCTCATTGTACAAGGCATGGCTTTCCGTGGCCATGATGAATCCTTTATTTCTTTAAATAAGGGCAATTTTAGAGATATGGTAGATTGGGTAAAAGCTAAAGATGAATAAGTGAGCGATGCTTTTGACCGTGGTGGAAAAATTTGCACACTGACTTCTAGTGACATTCAAAAGGAGCTTGCAACGTCTTTGTCACATGAAGTTATCAGGGTGATTATGGAAGAGCTTGGTGATAGATAATTCTCTATGCTTATTGATAAGTCACATGATATATCCATCAAAGAGCAAATGGCGATGATGTTGAGGTTAGTAGTTGTATTTGTTTTCAATTTTCAATTTCTAATTTTCATTACCTATTATTCTCTATGCCGCCAAGTAAACTTGTTGAATTTGTTTTAGGTTTGTTAACGACAAAGGGAATGTTGTGGAATGATTTATTGCTCTACATCATGTCAAAGATACTACATATGAGGCATTAAAGGATGCTCGTTATGGTATTTTTGATAAGTACACATTATCTATTTCTAGGATACTAGAGCAAGGATATGACGGGGCTTCAAATATGAGAGGTGTTTTTAATATTTTGCAAAGAAAGATTCTAGATGAAAATCCTTATGCTTTCTATGTCCATTGTTATGCTCACCATTACAATTAGTTGTTATGTCTGTTGCTAGTAGTTGCTCATCTATTCATGATTTATTTTACTACATCTCCTTGATTGTAACCACAACAAGTGCATCTTGTAAGAGGAAGGATGCTTTAACGGAGGCATAATACCAAGATATTTTAAATAAAGTTTAGAGGGGTGAGATATCTAGAGGAATTGGATTGCATCAATCATCTAGTCTCACAAGACCCGGGGATACTAAATGGGGTTCACATTATACTACATTGCTTCGCTTGGATCAAATGTGGTCATCCGTGTTAAATGTGCTTAGTATGGTTGATGAAGATGGACGCGAACCATCTCAAGAAGCAGGTTTGATAGAAAAATGAAGATCTTTAAATTTTCTTTTATTTTGAAGTTAATAGTAAAGTTGTTTGGTATCACAAACGAGCTTTTAAATGTCTTGCAAAGAAAAGATCTTAATATTATGAATGCCATGGAATTAATTGATGTTGTCAAAGCTCGGTTGGCCATAATAAGAGATAGTGGTTAGGATAATTTATTTGTCGATGTATAGGAAATTTGTGTTGCTAAAGGTATTCTGATGCTAAATATGGATGACGAAATACCGGTTAAGGATCGGTCAAGGGCAAAAGGGAGGAATATCACTAATCTTCATTATTATCTTGCAGAGATTTTTATGTCGCTATTGACAAAATATATGTGGAGATGGATCACCGCTTTAGTGAAGGAAGTAACATTATCCTTGATTGCTTCTCATATCTTAACCCCAAGAACTCTTTCTCCAAGTTTGATGTTGATAAGCTTGTTCGTCTTGCTGATATTTATCATGAAGACTTTTTTGATGATGATCTTGGAACAATAAGAGATCAACTTGACACTTATATTCTTCAAGTGAAAAAGAAATGCTTCATTTTCCACTTGTGAAGATGTTCAAAGTTTGACTATGAAGATGGTTCAAACTGAGAAACATTTGGTATTTCCATTGATTTACAAACTTATTGAGTTAGCTTTGATATTATCGGTGTCTACAACATCCGTTGAAAGAGCCTTTTCAGCAATGAAGATTATCAAGTCTAAATTGCACAATAAGATCAGCGATGTGTGGTTCAATGACTTGATGGTATGTTATACTGAGTACGAGATATTCAAGTCACTTGATGATATTGATATTATTAGAACATTCACTGCAAAGAAGTCTTTGAAAGGATATTTGCCTTGTGATTTCATTTAACACGCTATTGTAAGGTTATGGTTGATCTCTTTTATTCTGTTTGATGACTATATATATATATATATATATATATATATATATATATATATATATATATATATATATATATATATATATATATATATATATATATATATATATATATATATATACAATGAATTTGCTGTCTTTAAATTTTTGCCCAGACTTTATAATTTTTCTGACTTCGCCATTGGTTATACTATTTGTTGGCCGACTCTACTTCCAGAGTCATGTAAAGTATAACCTTTGACATCCCAATATGGTTTCACTCTATAACCACTACACCTTATAACAAAACCAATAAAGCAAAGTTTAAACAAATTACTGTACCTGATTTTATAGTGGGCTTGTAATGAATAGATCATGAGAAATGCTTAAGAGAAGGGAAGGAGCAGTTTCAGACACTTGAGTGCTCACCAGTTGTTTGATAAAATGTCCAAAAGAATTTAGAGATTTTGGAGGTTTGTAACCCCTGCAATCTAATTAGTTTTTTGTATGTTTACTTTTAGTGACATGGTGAGTCATTGGCGTGCCACGCCATCTTCTGTTAGAGGAAGTTCACGATAAGGACTAAAATTAGAGCATAAAACTTTATGAGAACCATTATTCGAAGACAATTAATTTTTATAAGAATTAAGTTTGAATGATGAGTTATTTATAGGGACTAAAAACATCTTTAACCCTAAAATTTATTTAAATTAAAAATATTAAAAAATTCTCTTTTGAAAAAAAATCATTTATTCACACGTAAAAAATAGAAAAACAAACTCCCCACCGTTTCTAATGACTAAAAAATAGCAATTCAAATAACATTTTCTAATGGCTAAAAAGTAGCAAGTAAATATTTTTCATTTCACTTAATTTTTATTGATTTTATTTTGGTATTCCTTAATTACCTTTAGATTTTACTGGTCCAAAATGTTGCATAAATTCTTCTAGAATAGATATTTATCTTGATCATTTACCACAACCAACAGCAACCAAGAACTTGATCCATTTATAAAAGAATCAACTTTTTAAATTTGTGTGCATTTTAGATTAGAACTAATAATTATTTATTATTTTCGTAGTATGATTATGTTGATCAAGCACGAAATGTACAACACTGTGGTCAACGAGTTCCTCCAACATGATCTGACCAAAATCCCAAATGAATTACCACCTTTTCTTGGCTATGAAGAGAAAGATATGCTAGCTGGTGTACAAGATATGAAGGTTTTGCTCAATGACCTCCAAGATCATGATAGTGACAAGCTTGTGGTATTGTTCAATGAAAATTATGCACATATTGATTTTATTATGGGTGTCACTGCTAAACAAATAGTCTATGATCCCATGATAGATTTTTTCAATGATTGTTGATTTCTTTTTAACGAATATTGTTCAATGAAAATAAAGTATGTTTGATTTTTCTAAATATATAATTACAAAATTTGTCTTCTATTCTCGATATTTAATTACTTCGAGTCTCTACTTTGTTTTATGTGAGTTGGGAACTCTTCAAGAGTGATGGAATTATAAAAGGAAAAGCCTAATTTACAATTGGCATTATTTAGAATTTTCACACAATTTAAGTGTGTTGACAGAGTTGAGCTAAACCTTAGTACAAAGTAAAACTAATATAACATATGACTAGGTAAAAGGTTAATCCACTACTAAACCCTTTGTGATTGACAATACCACAGACAACAATGTAAATGCAACTGATCCGTCAAAAAAATGTAAATGTAACTGTTCAATGGTTACTTGTTGCTTATAAAACTTATCTAATCTTTGCACATATGTTAATGGTCAAATCTTTTGGACAAAACTTTGCTGGTTTTAAGCAGAATGAACAAATAAAACATGTACACTTTTGGTTGTAAACTAGTAATAAATATGTAGTTTATTACTCTATCTAAAATTGTGTTCTTAATACAAGAATTACAAACATGAAATGAGACAAAGATCCTCTAAAAAGAAACAATTGTAAAATCACATAACCTAGCACTAATACTCGGACGATAAACCAAATATATACATCAATTTGAAAAAAATATTGTCAAATGACTCTTCCCCCACTTCAATATTATCCCATTACATTTTAAACGTACATTAAAAACTGCCATTTTAATCGTATAAAAATTAAAAATTAAACAGAATAATAATAAAACATTTGTTCAATGACCAATATAGATAGGCATAGAATAGAAAAAATCCAAATAAGTAGTGATTGAAAAATAGAGATGGTATCAAACAATGGAAGTGAAGCAAAGCAAGAGAATGGAATGTGAGAAATCAATCGTATGGGAGAGAAATATACAGAAAATCATATCCATGTGTAAAAATTGTTAGTTTGAATATTCTATGTAATAAATAAACAAACTGATAAAATAAGATAATAAGATTTCAAAATGTTCCTCAAATTTATATTTGTATGCAATCAACCAACTATATGGTTGGAATACTGCTATCTTGAAATGAAGTTCATGACACTTATATAACATATTAATAAAAGACATATAAGTACTATTCAAGCATCTTAACAGGATCCTACTTGGAGGTTCTCATCCTCTGACCCTGGCTTTCCAATATTTGCAGGTTCAATAGAAAGAGACTGCAGAAAAGAAAAAATATTCATTACCAAGTAAATGATGAATGGTGATTTGATGCGCAGCAAAACTATACAAATAAATATTCATTACCAAATGGGAAATTGGAGAGGGTGCTTCCTTGAAGGGATATTCTTCAAAAGATTTAAGCTTCCGGTTTAACATCAACAACCAAATTAAATATTTATATGTGCATGTGATTTTATCAAATTATTACCTATAAACATGCAGATTTTGGTCATGTTTGATTATAAAGTTGATCTTTCTTATCCTTCGCGGTTGCCATGGTGACGTGAGTAGTAGACACACCAGAATTGTAGGACATTGCATCTATTATTTTGCAAAAGTCAAAGAATTTTTTTTACCAGAACATGATTACTATGTAGTTAAGAGATATTGTAGAATTGTTACCAAACTTAAATTGAGGCCCCTCTCGACCACAGGTGACTCGCGGTTTCTCCTCTGAACCTTCTTCCTCCCGTGACTCGACTCGGTGTTTCTCCTCTGAACCTTCTTCTCCTGTGACTCGACTCGGGATTTCTCCTCTGAACCTTCTTCCTCCTGTTTGTCTTTTTTGTGGTGTCTATTCATATATATATATATATATATATCAAATTAATCAAAAAATAATTCAACAAATCAATTCAAAAAGTTTCAATTAAGTAATATCTAACCTCTAAATAATTGGGTTTAACGGACCATGGCCTAAGTTTAGGAATCCTAGTTCTCGGTTTTTTCCTTTGAATATTATCTCTGTCATCAAATTTGGATGAATTTGATCGGCTACAATGCATTCTATTATTGTTTTTTTTTCTTGAAAATTTTGACCTCTTTCTTAATTTTCTTTTAGGACTATCACTCTTTTAGTACTAGGAGTGTTAGGAGCACTATGCCTCTTTCTTTTTGGATGAACACTACAATGGGATCTTTTTGGTCGCTTCTACTCATGGTATAGTGTTTTTTATATTGATAAAGAGTGGAAGCATTACTTTTCTTCCTATAGGAAGTGAAACTCCGAGGAAATGGAAGGTCTTTACAATAGCTCACGTGAACTCAAACCATTATGTAATAGTAAGTTTAGATTTTATTTCTTTGTTGTTTATGATCATTTGTGATTCGATACTTTTATTGATGATTCCATTGTGGATCTATAGACGGTTCAGGAGAGGGCTTTTTTAAGAAAGCCCTCTCCTGAACCGTCTATAGATCCACAATGGAATCATCAATAAAAGTATCGAATCACAAATGATCATAAACAACAAAGAAATAAAATCTAAACTTACTATCACATAATGGTTTGAGTTCACGTGAGCTATTGTAAAGACCTTCAATTTTCTCGGAGTTTCACTTATTATAGGAAGAAAAGTAAAGTAATGCTTCAACTCTTCATCAATATAAAAAACACTATACCATGAGTAGAAGCGATCAAAAAGAAAGAGGCAGAGTCCTAACACTCTTAGTCCTTGATAGTCCCAAAAGAAAATTAAGAAAGAGGGTGAAAATTTTCAAGAAAAAAAGAATAACTAGAATGCAGCCAATTAAATTCATCCAATGACAGAGATAATATTCAAAGGAAAAAACTGAGACCTAGGATTACTAAACTTAGGTCATGGTCCGTTAAACCCAACTATTTAGAGGTTAGATATTACTTAATTGAAACTTTTTGAATTGATTTGTTGAATTATTTTTTTTGATTAATTTGATATATAAGAACAGGCACCACCAAAAAAGACAGGAGGAAGAAGGTTCAGAGGAGAAACCTCGGTCACCTGTTGTCGAGGGGCGTCAATCTTCTCCTCAATTTAAGTTTGATAACAATTCTACAATATCTCTTAGCTATATAGTAATCATGTTCTGGTAAAAAAAATTCTTTCACTTTTGCAAAATAATAGATGCAATGTAATACAATTCTGGTGTGTCTACTACTCACTTCACCATGGCAACCGCGGAGGATAAGAAAGATCAATTTACTAGTCCCGATTCAGGAAAGGATGATTCCAAATTTCCATTGCGGATCTGTATACAGTTCAGGGCTTTTGTTTAAAAAACATGTGTAAAATGTATGGAATCATCACTAAAAAATATGGAATCATCAATAAAAGTATCAAATCACAAATGATCATAGACAACAAAGAAAAAAAATATAAACTTACTATCATGGTTTGAGTTCACGTGGCCTTCAATTCCTTCGGGGGCTTCATTGTTCATCCAAAAAAAATTTCACACTGACCATTAGTCCACTGGAGTGATGATGCTATGCCGTCAAATAATGAGCCATACAAATCCCTGTAGACAAATTCTTTGGTCATTAATTCATTTAGTAACTCCTTTTTAATTATAGGCCATTTTTCTTGCTTTTTAACTTCCGGTGTAAATAAGCTAAACACCTAAACCCACAATTCCCATCCTTGACAACATCAATGATGTTGTCAACATATGGTTGCATATGGTCGGGAATTTCAGAAATATACTCAGTATATGCTTTAGAGTTGTTAGCTCCCAATTTTGGGTATGAGAGTGATTTCAGCACCACTTTCTCCTTTAAACAAGCTTAAAGTAAAACGACCACGGGATCCACGAGTAAAGAGCAAAATATCGCCGTTAACAAGAGAATAGGTGTCTTTAAATTTTTTCCAACCCTCCAAATGAAAGTTGCCATCTTCTTCATGTAGGCAACGTGTTGTCGAGATGTCCCCATTCCACAAATGTATGGACAATTGTTTTTCTGATCTGTTCTGCGAGTGATTGGGGAGAACAAGTGATGAAATTACCTAAAGAGAATAAAAAATATGGTATTTCATGTTGAGTTTAAAATATAACTTAAAGTGAATAAAAAAGTATACATTGAATTAATAAAACGGACCATTTCTTCCTGTATGATCCTACTTAAACGAAGAGGTGGTGGGGCCATGAAGAAAATGAAGCCTGCATAATTTAAAAATAAACAGAAGAATAAGAGAATCAGAAAATGCTAAAATTTCGACATAACATACTATATAAACAATGTATTTAATCTATTTCATAAATAATGAATTAATTAACGCTGTCCATAATCTAGGGAGGAGGGATTGAGTACATAAAAAGTACATAAGCCTGTAATTCCCTCATCAATTTCTCATTTGGCAAAATCCCTTTCTCACTCTAAATTCTCTCTCTCTCTGCAATTCTCCGCCACCAAACCCTTCTTCTCCGACCACCTTTCACCGGACGTCTTCTCCGGCGTCCCTTACCCTGAATCAAGAAAATTTCACACAAACCCCCTCTTCTCCGATACCTTTCGCCCTTGACATGTGGCGGCCAAGGGCGGCGCCACCGTCTTCTCCGGCGTCCCTTACCACAAATCAAGAAATCTGGCCTCTAAATTCTTGCTTTTTCCTCGTCTTTCCAAATCTGGCCTCTAAATGAACAAACAATCAACCCTCACGCCGGATCGACCCTTACAGAAACGCTCAAATAACAAATATTCCTCTCTACCCAAACACAAACTAAACGAAACCCTAACCCTCAAATACAAACAAAAACAAGATATCGAATCACGTATCCAAACATAAACAAACAGAAAACAAAACCAAACATCAATCATACCAGATGATTCCGCTCTTCTGTTTCTACTTCTTTTTCCTTTCTCTGTGCTTTGTGTGAGGATAGTTAGGTATCAAAAGTAGGGTGAGTGTGTGAATTTGTTTCATTTTATAGGGTGAGAGTCATAAGTAGTGAGAGTGTGTGAATTTGTTTCATTTTGGAAGAAAAAAGTTTGTTAGGGTTTTTGTGCGTGATTTGTTTTTTTTTGTCTTATTTGCTGCACATGGAATACAGATGCAGCATTGGGATGTGCCTGTACTGCATAATTTGGATGGATACATAATATATGGATGTAATGTAGGTAGTATAGTGTGTGTATGCATTGCAATTAGATGGAATTGAACGTGTTCTGAATGTGATATATGGTTATGGAAAAATGTATTTGAAGCACAAATAATTCAACTAATAGAGAAAATATTTTGTTTTATTTAAAAATCAATAAATTTATCTAATGTTGACGAGGTTGATGAGTTTTTTTTTTTTGGTACAATGTTGATGAATTTATCTAATGTTGTATATACTATTTTTCATCTAACTTATAAATTTTGTATTTCATTCATGTTGGCATCTGCCAGCCCACCGTTACTATTCTTTTAACATAAAACATAGGGTACTAGCCGTGGGTCATTATTAAAACATTTTTTTTATTATTCTAAAATTGATTTTAATTTGTTTTTATTAAAAATAAGATAAATATTTTAGTACCCATAGATTTTAGTTGAATATTTGATATTATTTTTTTGTAAAATTTTAATTTATTTTAAAATAAAATAATATAAAATTAAATAATGTTATTTGATTGGATAATAGTTACCTAAGTTCAAAGTTCAAAGTACCTATTATTCAATCAATAAATATTAAAGTATGGAAGGCTGCTTCCATCCTTTCAAAGCAGCCTTCCATACTTTGTTGTCCATAGATTTCATAAAAGCTACCATTCTGACTTTCCACCAGTGATAGTTTGAACCATCCAACATAGGTGATATGTTGTTATATCTTCCTTCTTTCTCCATAGTGCCATAAAATATATCCTTGAATCTCACCCAATAAATAGAATATGGTGCATGCTCTTGATGCCAATTGTAATTCTGACGCACACAATATAAGAAGTCAAGATTGATGTCTTAACAACATATAATATCACAACAGATGTTACGACATCTGATGACATCAAACAGACTTGCTAAAACTAGAAAGATTATGCATAAAGATGAAGTACAAAAACTTAAAGAACACAAGGAATTATTAACCCAGTTCGGTGCAAACTCACCTACTCTGAGGGATACCAAGCAAGGAAGCAAATCCATTATCATTAATATCAATTCGAAGCTAAATAATCCCAGATTACAACTTCTCACTTAATCCCTACGTGCAACTTTTACCTAGGCACCTCCTAGATATGGGAACCCCTCTCACTCCCAATCACCGTAGTGATAAAGGACCAATCCCAATTCTAGGGAATGTCTCAAGAAACCAAAAACTAAAAACACACTTCTAAATTACAAATACTTAGTTTGCTTAAAAGCTTCACTAAGAACAATACTCGACTCTTTTCTTAAAAGCTTATAGGAGAATAATAACTTGATAAACAAGTAACAATTAGTCAACTCAGATACATCAAAAGATGCATGAGGACGTACAAAGAGCACGCGGAGAACCTAAGTAACTATCAAACCTTAAACCCTTATTTTTCACAAGGTTTTACAATAAAAACTAGGTTTTGGATGACTCCTTATATAAACTTCTACAAAGGAGCTTGGACTCTTCAATCAGATATAATCTCCAGCTCTAAATTCCTGCAGAATCTTCTCCACAAAAATAGAACAAAAACAAATCTTTCAAATATTTTCTAAAAAGTCTCAAAGATAAATTTTATGAAATAAATCAAATTTGCAATTATTCCTAGTAATCCTTGATTGGATATGCCTGTTATGAGTACAAGAAACCTCTAGAATCTCATATTTTTCAATCAAACTCTTCAAGGATAAATATCCAACTGTACTGATATGATGTTTTGTGATAACATGTTATAACATCTGATAAAACATATGTCAAATAAGCACCAGCAGACTCTGTTGTACAGACTGATCAAGATGTTATGACGTCTTGTTCAACATTAGGTTGCAATACATGTTCTTCCCAAATCGAACATGTTGATAGATTTGTTGTCAACTATTTATTTTACCAAAATTGTTGTCAACCATAAAATCACAAACCTAACAATCATCTACCTCGAAATATACAAAGGAGAATAAAAATACTCTACTTACGAGAAAAGAGATAATATGTTGTAGAAGTATATATGAAGAAAATAAGAAAGGTAACACCCCACAGAAATTGTGATATTGTCTCCACAAAGATCATGCAATACTCTAGGAAAAGAAAACTGATACGCATTATCAACGATCCATATCACTTTAGAAAAACACTCCATGACATTAGTTTCCAAATATCATTATGACAAAAACATAAGAAAAGACATCTAAAACATGAGGTGCAAGTTTCCAATGACAATATTGTCACATCTTGATTTTCCATTCAAGTCGGGCTACAATCGATAGTAAAAGACAAGCACAAGAAAGCCTTCACATTATAAAGTAGAGACAAGGACTTTTAAAGTAATTGTTTTGTACCAGTCAAAAGGTCTAATAATTAAAGGTTAGAGAAATATGTTAATTCACTATATAGTTTTTAAATAGAATATTCTTCAAAATTTGAATTTCTAATTTATTCATTTTAGCTTATCTTCAAGATGTTTATGTCATTTTCTCTTCTCAATGATAAAGAAGAGAGAGTTAATATTTCTTTCATTATGTTTTCTCTCCTTCCGAACAACTAAATCAATCTTCTCTCTTCCTAACCAAACCAGTGTTTTAAAACCCAGCCCGACCCGGTCGGTCGGATCGGTCTGACTGAGAACAGGTGGGTCAGGCGGTCCGATTAAGGGATAAGACTGGAATTACATTTAGACTGGATGAAACCGGTGTGAACCGGCCGAATCACCGGTTAAACCAGTGAACCAACGGTTTTTACTGAACCGGCGGGTTTGACTATTTATTTTATTTTTTAGGGCTTTTGAAAAAAAATTAACATAAACACTTTGCCTCCTCGTTTCCTAAACCTAGGCATTTGAAATGTTTTCTTTTTTATTCTGTCTTTTCTTTTTCTAATTGAAGTCATATTCTCAATTTTCTCTACCAACAAAAACTCCCACTTACTGTTGTTATTTGATATTCCTTGTTTGCCGTAAAAAATTTCATCAAAACATCAAAAACAAGTTATTTCTTTTTTACTTGGTCTAATTTGCATTGATGTTTTTCAATATGAATATTATTGTTTCATTTTGTTGATTAATTGATATAGAAAATAAATGATTAAATTTGATCATTTTCTATAAAATTGGGTCTTTTAGTTTAACAAATTGAGATAGAATTTGTATGAATGAAACAGTTTTATACTTTTATGAATTAACTTATTATAGACTGACAATGAAGTTGTTGTATATTGGAGATAGAAATTGGGATAAATATATATTACTGTAATAGTCGTTGTATATATTATGGAAATAGAAATTGGGTTTAAAACTATGTAATCTAAATTATATAGTAAGACAAAGTTTTCTGTTTTTTATTAATTTAAATTATATAACAAAGAAAAGTTTCAGGATTTTATTAATCTAAAATATATAGCAAAGGCTGGAAAGCAAAGTTTCTATTTTTTATTATATATGGTGATGCACAGTAACGATGCTTGGTAGCCTATATGTAATATACAACAACATATTCATATATTTTGGATTTAGATATGCTACATATTTAATGTTTCTTATAATGTTTTTATAAATTCAATAATTTTTGTTTAGAATTGTGTTTTGTTAATATTTTTGTATTTTTAAATTTTGATTGATATTAGATATGGCATCACCCGTTGAAGTAATAACTTCGGAAGAAGTTACATCTCAAAATCCAACCCAACTCCAGAGCAGTAGGGGAAAAACTGATATAGCTTGGGGTCATTGTAAACAAATTGAAGAGAAAGGAAAACTTGTTAATTTGTGTATTTACTGTGATAAAATTATTAGAGGAGGGGGGATTAATAGGTTCAAATTCTATTTGGTTGGAATAAAAGGTCAAGTTGAAACATGTAAAAAAGTGCCTCCAGATGTTCAATATCAAATGAAACAAAATCTTGATGAAGGTGCAAATAAGAGAAGAAAGACTCAAGCACAAAATTTTGATGTTGATCTTACTACTCAAGAGGGTGGTGTAGTAGAAATGAATGTAGAACAATCAAGATCAAATTCGGTGATTGTGTCTCAAAAGCGAAAGAATACTAGTTGTATTAGTAATTATTTTATGCCTAGAACAACTCCTGGAGCTCAACCTTCTTTAAAAAGTGTGTTACAAAGTAAGGAATTGGTGGAGAAGTATGATCTAGCTATTGCAAGATGGTTCATTGATTCTTCTGTGCCATTCAATGCAGCTAATTCTGCGTATTTTCAATCTATGGATGATGCACTTTGCAACATGAGTCTGGGGTATAAAGTTCCAACTATGCATAGTCTTCGTGGCTATTTGTTAAATAAATGGGTTGAAGATGTGAACAAATTGATAGAGGAGTATCGTGAGATTTGGAAGAAAACTGGTTGTACTCTAATGGCCGATGGATGGACTGATCGAAAAAGAAGAACTCTTATAAACTTTCTAGTTTATTGTCCTAAAGGTACTATTTTTTTAAAATCCGTTGATGCTTCTCATGCTTCAAAAACTGCAGATATGTTGTATAAGCTTTTTAGAGAGGTGATTTTATTTGTTGGGCCTGAAAATGTAGTTCACATAGTGACAAATAATGCTGCAAATTATATTGCTGCTGGAAGGTTATTAGAAAATGAATTTCCTACTTTATTTTGGTCTCCTTATGCGACACATTGCATTAACTTGATGTTGCAAGACATGGGAAAATTAAAGGAAGTAAGTGAGACAGTGTCACATGCTTCTAATGTTACCAAATATATTTATAACCATTGTTATGCATTGTATTTAATGAGAAAGCAAACAGGTGGAAGAGAAATCCTTCGTCCTGCTCCAACTCGGTTTGCCACTAATTTCATTGCTTTGCAAAGTATTTTGTCTCACAAAACTCACAAAGAGCCATGGTAACATCTAAAGAATGGACAAGCTCAGCATATGCCAAAGAAGCAAAGGCAAAACAGTTTGTGGATCAAGTTTTAGATTCTGGATTTTGGAGTAAATATGCTGATGTAGTTAAACTCACTGAACCACTTGTACGTGTGTTGTGTATTGTTGATAGTGAAGATAAACCTGCTATGGGCATTCTATACAAATCTATAGTCAAAGCTAGAGAGAAGATGGTGAGGAGGTTTCAAAGAAATAAGAAGAAAGTGGATCCTTACTTAAAAATCTTAGATAATTGTTGGGATTCACAGCTCCGCAAAAATCTTTATGCTGCCGGTTATTGGTTAAATCCAGCTTGTAGATATAATGATGTAGAATTTGAAAGACATGCATCCACAACATCAGGACTTTTAGATGTCATTGAAAAGCATGCTAATGGAAATTCTGAACTTCGATTGAAGTTAACAGATGAGATGAGAATATTCAAAGACGGTGAATTAAATTTTGGAAGGAAATCAGCCGTGGATGAACGATGTATTGTGATGGCAGGTAATTTCATAACTTCTAACTCTTG